AATGCTCTTTGCGATGCTAAGATCTCCAAGAAGTCGTAACTTGAAGAAACTGGTTTACCTAGCCTCTCCCAGAATGACCATCTTTAAAAGCCTATAGAAAACACATGACTTCTTTTTTCAAAGCCAACACATAAACATCATTTCACACAGGTCATTGTGAGTCTAGATGCAATTGTCTATCTATCCTAGGATGGCACCATCTCACTCAACCCTTGATTCCACCCTTGGTCACTGCACCCTCCGCTCCACAGAAGCCCTGCCTCCCGTCCTCCCCCCCCCCCCCCCCGAGTCCTGTCACTTCTGTTTCCTTGAACCTCTTCTATCAGTCCCTTCCTGATGTCCTTCAGGCTTCGTTCTTGACCCACCTTCCAGGACTTGACACAGTCTGTGCTTCTTCTGGCCAATGCTTGCTCCTTCACGATGCGCACGCTTCTATTTGATTTCTTCCCCTGGCCAGACGGTGACCCGCACGAGGGCAGGGGTCTTGTCCGCCCAGCTCACTGCGTCTCAAAGCTCCAGTTCCAGAGCTGGATGCCCAGGGCTGCTTTTGTTCTTTTCCTGAACATACGAGTTTCTTCAGAGCGAACTGTCAGCTACAAGAGGGTCTTAGGTCTTTGGCAAGAACCGTTCCAGTGGTGCGGAGGGAGCTGAAGTCAGGGTACACAAGGACACCGACGACAGTGAAGTAGAAAAGACGGTGCTTTGGGGTTGAGAGCTAGCAGGCAACGGGGAAGAAGTGGATGACACAGGGAGGATAACTGTTGGAACAGATGAGAACAGTGGTCTTACACTACACATAAAACTCACTGATGCCTCAGAGCAATTCCATGTAAGAGGCGTTATCTACATTGTATAGATAAGAGGTTCAGAGAAATTGAACAAATTTGCCTACCTGGTAAGTGACAATTAAGATATTAACCCAAATAGCTGTTTCCCAAGCTCATACCTTTGCCCCTATATCACGCTTTCTCTTGCCCGTGGGACCAGGAGCTTGGGAAGAAGGGTTGCCTTTAACAAGTGCAATGGGAAGAGGACTACACATAAGGGATTGTGTGAAAGATGCAGGGAGACCCCTACCTGGTCTGAACCCCGGCCCTGGGTAGTCGGTGGATTGCTCCACCCTGCTCCTCCCAGAAGCCTGTTGGGTTTATTCTCTGGAGAAGGCGACTGCAACCTTCTGGGACACCAGAGGCAGGGGCAGATGAGGGTGAGGTCTGTCCTGGCGTCCTAACGGTGAGACCTCCCAAGCCCACTCTCCTAATGTGCAATCAAAAAGTCACAGGCTTACCACACTGGGAGACTGGAAGAAACTTCTCTAAAGAAATGCAATGACCCCTGCAGGATGCTTTAAGAAAAATAAAGAAGAACCCTTGAAAACCAAAAAAGTGATAGCTAAAATATATGTATTTTTTAAATCAGTAGAATGGGAAGATACAGTTAAGGAGAAGTCTTAGAAAGTAGGTAACCTAAATAACAGAAGTTCCATTAAGAACAGAACAGAATGGAAGAAATCTCAGTGGGAGCGAGCCCCGCAGGCTGCCATGGCCCGGGCAGCGTGCACACACGCAGACGCGCACTTCCGATAGGCTCTCCAGCACTTGCCTCTTGCACAAGATCTCTGGCTCGGCCCTGTTTACAGTGCAACAGAGGGCGACACGTGAACACGGGGACCTAAAGAAAGACAGGATAACACCCTGTGCTAAACCAAACTTCAACAGAATTTAAAGAAATACCTGAGATAAAAGAAACTGAATCCAAGGAACAATCACAGAAGGCTTTAATATAGGGAATACTGTAAGAAAAACTAAAAACAATAAAAAAAACTGAAATAAAAAGCATGCACACACACACAAGGGAAGAAAAAGAAAATCTCTTCTAAGTGGAATAAGTAAATAATAGAAAGCCCATTAAGACTATATGGTAGCCCTGGCCAGTTTGCTCAGTGGTTAGAGCGTCGGCATGCGGACCAGAGGCCCGGGTTCGGTTCCCGCTAAGGGCATGTTTGCAGTTTGTGCCCAGCTCTGGTTGGGGTTGTGGGGGTGGCGGCCAGTCGATGTTTCTCTCTCTCTTCCCCACTCTCTCCCTCCTGCTCTATCTGAAGATAAATGCAAAAATGTCCTCAGGAGAGGATATAAAAACAAAAAACAACAAAAAAGAAGGTAGGGGAGAAAACATCAAAAACAAAACAAAAAACGTTTCTCAGAACTGAAGGAGCTGCATCTCCAGACTGAAAAGGCTGCTCACCACGATGGAAGGCAGGAGACCTAGTCACCGAAAGATTCCAGAATCAGGCTAAAGGAAAGAGATCGCAACTTTCGGAGAAAAGGAACTCCGGTGACAGGATGGGGTAGCACGGGACTCCTCACAGGACCACCAGAAGGCAGAGGAAAATGGCAGCAGTGTTGTCCAAATTCTGAGAAAAACACTTTTCAACCAGCAATTCAATGCCTTGCAGCCTTTTCTGACAAGCAACTGAAGAATCCTGTCCCTCATCACAACGCAGTGAGCCAGGAATGAGGACCGAACATGGAAGGGAGGTAGGGCCAACAGAGGTTAGAGCTGCCAGGAGCCCCGGTGGGGGCAGGAGACAGAAGGTTCTAGAAGGGATTTGTCTTCGAAGATAAATGAAACTAGAGAACTGTTAGGTTGAGTTATAAATGGAAGGCATGTGAGGGGCCAGAGGTGCTAGAACAAACCTTACTGTGGTAACCGCTTCACAGTATCTGTGTGCCAACCATCACCTGTACTCCTTCAACTTACGTGTGCTGTACGTCAGTAGTCTCAAAAATGGCTGAAAAAAATGGTTTGACTTTTGGAAGAACATAATGAAAGGTATAATAGAGCTGTTCAAGTGAGATAGTCAAAGAAAATATTTTAAAAGGGATAATCTTTAAATCCAATAGAACAACAACAAAGTTGTGCTGAAAGAAATCGTGGGATACTATTCGACTTTGAGCGTAACACGGACACCTAGTGTGAGCTGAACAAAAAGCTGAGATGTAACATTAGAAGGCCGGAGGGAAAAGTTGAGGGGTGCGGCTGAAAGCGTCCTCTGCGGACAGTCAGCGGGCTCTGAACGTGACGGCCGAGAACAGGACAGGCGCACAGCAGCTCAGGTTGGCTGCCTGCCAGACCGGTAACCACAGGTCACCAGGACCGGAGGCTGGTTTTCTTACGAGCCTTTTTGCTATCTGACTGCTTTTTAAGGCAGAAGAGAGAAGGCAAGTCAGTGGGAAATGAGAACTTTCTCCCCAGTGTGCTCCTCGCACCCACGGGAGCTTGTTCGGTGGCATCTCGGGACCCAGCCCAGACCTGCAGGACGAGGCTGCGTGTCCATCTCCTGGCTATCTGCACGCCCGGGACAACTTGAGAAGCATGGTCCAGCAGTCCTGTGCACGGTGCAGGTGTCCACCGCGTGGTCAAGGTGAGGACGTGAAGGGCATTCACTGGGCACATGGTGGTCGGGCTTCTGGTGTGACCTCAGGTCCCTCCTAGGTCCTTCAACATGTCACTCGCTTGTAGTACCTTAACCTGTCTGCTCGGCCCTCCTGACTTAATGTCTCCACAGGTTTTTGTTTTGGTGCCTATTTTACACATTTTGGTACCAACTTTGTTTTGGGTACCTATTTTTTATTTCACAAAATCTGTCTTTACAGGGCGGTTGTAACTTTGTTGTCATCGTCCTCAAATCACTCCTGTGTATGATTACCAAGTTAACTCAACAGCAGGCGCTCACCAAAGGCTTAGCAGTTGGGGTCTTCGGACTGTTATACGACTGAACAGAAGAGATGAGTAAGCCAGTAAGTAGGACAGCCTCTGCCTTCCAGGAAAGAGAAGGAAATCAAACAAAACAGACTGGAGAAGGAGCTTTGATGGGATAAGCCACGGACTGTAAGATTCCTTCGTGGGGGGTCCCCTATTCCACTGGAAGCAAGGACTAAGCTAAGGTGTCCATTACAGAGAGGATTCTTCGGTTCTCAATTCTGCCAACCTCTGTCTTTTTTTTTTTTAATCCTCACCCAAGGACATTTTTCCATTTTTTGTTCAGATAGAGTGGGAGGGAGAGAGAGAAACATCGATGTGAAAGAGACACATTGAGTGGATGCCACCCACACAACCCCAACTGGGGCCGGGGACAAACTGCAACTGAGGTACATGCCCTTAGTGGGAACCGAACCCGGGTCTCTCTGAACCGCAGGCCGATGCTCTAACCCTGAGCCAAACCAGCCAGGGCCCTATGTCTTTAATACCTTTTGTACCTTTACAGTTCTGAAAGATTTATAAAGCTCCTGTAACTAGATCAAGTAAACTGTTAATATATAAGTCATTTGTTGCTTTAAAACATAAAAGGTAAGAAAAATCTAGCCTAAAACCACAGTTGGTCTTCAGACTACAAAATGATTCTATAATATGGAATTTTTAAAACTGAAGAAAAATCCAAACTAAGATACTGTGAATTAAAAAAATATATATATATTGTTTTAAAATGATTCAGACTAGACGCTCATGACTTTGGTATAACTTGGTTTAAATATAGCTTCCTTCAAGATATATATATATATATATATATATATATATAACAAACCCATCAAATGCTGAGTCTTAAGACAGAAGCAAGGCTTAATTAGGAAATTTCAAAAATCTCCCTGATTAAAGATCATCTCTCCTTTAGTAAAGTGAGGGGTAATCTATGCAAATCGGCTTTGCTTTTCAGTGACCCTTGCAAACATGCTATTGGTGTTTATTAGAAAACTGGCAAGATGTTGCTGTTTAAAAATGATTATTTTAAAGAGAGATTCATATATATCTATGTAGGAATTCCTTATTTCAAGGCATTCTCTCAATCACCATTCACTGGTGGAAAAAGTAAAAAATTATCCCTTGACAACAGGGAATTTGTATAACAAGGGACTGAGTGGCCCAGAACAGTGAACCATAAACTATATTCCTTTGAAGAACTTATCTTAAAAATCTGTGCAAATACTCCACATTAGATCCCTGATTGGCTTTGATTATTTAAAAGGTGCATATCCAACGAGAAGCTGAGGGAAGGTGGCGCTCCTAACGATGTTACCCTGTCCTGGGAAGCAGGCACCTGGCTCATGGCCAGGTGAGACCAACAGACACGGGAGTCTGCCCCCTCCACCCATTTCACATATTTGCCATAAAACATTAAAGATAAACACTGAATCATGCGATTTGTTCCAGGCACCTGTGTATGTATGTGAAGGTCAGAAGTCTTTTGGAACGTACACAAATTAAAGTTTTTATTCTTATACTACAATCCAATTCTAATCTTTTACCTGAATCAAATTTGAAAAATTTTATTTTTCAGCTGCATTCAATTTACAAAAATTGCTCTCCCTCATCACACCAAAGCATTTCTCATGCTTTATTTCCAGTGCTCAGATAATTAAGGAATAAAATCATTTTAATGTGCCTCTTTTAATAATCTTCAGATACACATTATCTAAAACCTGTCTAGGTCAAAAGGTTCATCCCCTGCAGTCACCTATGCAGACGCTGCCGGACGGTTCCGAGCTCAGCATAAACCAGCGTTCTCCAGAGTGAAGCGATGGACACCGCGCAGCCTTCCCCCGGCCCAGGTCTCCGCTAGAACTCCTCCTCTGCCTGCTTGCAGCGGGACTGCCGGAGCTCCCGCAGCCGCGCGACGGTTTCGGGGACAGTGCGCTCTCCGTGGACCTTGTTATCTCTGGTGCGGATATTGACAGTGCCGCTGGCTTTCTCCTTTTCACCCACAACTAAACAAAGACAGGAAGACGCCTTAGATGAGAGGGTTCTTATTGGACATCTGAACAGACATGATCCTAGGACCCAAAAGCCACCCTGCAGCCTCCTCCGATGAAAAGTACAAGTGACCATGCGCATGGGCGACCTACGTAAAAATCTCCTCGTGAAAAACCAGCCCATTCTGCAGTGCCTACCACCGCTGTGCCCACTGAGTCACCCACTCCAGCCGACTTCATAAAACCTTACCAGATGGAGTAATATAAGGGAAAGGGGAGAAAATTTTAAGACAGACCTTTAGAGATTATTCGTTTTCACACCAAAGTTTTCCTTATATCACCTGAACAAACTTAATAGTTTAAGAATCAGGAGTGAAAGGAACTAAACTGACAACCAGAATTCTCTTAGCCTCAAGGCTCAATGGAGCTTTGCTTCGGCTAGGTCTCCTTCCTCACCCAGGATGAAGTTATACTGTGCGAGCTGTGCATTTCTGATCTTCTTGTTCAGCGTACAGCCCGGATCCAGATCGACATCCACCATGAACTTGGCATCGTGGAATTGCTGCCGTACCTATTTCAACAGAGACACAGAATGCATCCGATCTAAAATTAGAATTATATGTGGATCGTACATGATTTTATTTAACCTGTAATTTGGAAAATTGTGCCCTGGCCGTTTTTGCTCAGTGGTTAGAGCGTTGGGCTGCGGTCTGGAGAGACCTGGGTTCGGTTTCCGCTAAGGGCACATACCTCGGTTGCGGTTTGTCCCCAGACCTGGTTGGGTTGTGCGGGTGGCAACCACTCTATGTGTCCCTTTCACGTCGATGCTTCTCTCTCTCCCTCCCACTCTATCTGAACAAAATATATATAAAAAAAAAGTCCTCGGGTGAGGATAAAAAAAAAAAATCTTAATTCTGTATAGGCAATGGCCTAATTAAACAGAAGTCTATAAGAATAACTTAATAAAAAGAAAGGATCAGGTTCGAGAAATATTAAAAAGTAATTTTTTCTTTCTCAACAGTGATTTATTTCCTTTTTGATTAAATAAGGCTTATTACGTCCTGGCTCAGGCGATTCCAACTACATACTGCTACCCCCACGTCCACCTTGCGCACCAGCAAGGTCTTCCTTCATATGCTGAGCACGAGCTCATCACTGGAAACAGGACAGGGACGAGACCCTTCCTACTCTCGAGGCTGATGGGGATACAAGCACAAAAATGGTGTTTCATCATAGCATGAGGAAGGACAGAAATGGAAACATACTTCGGTGGTTTAGGGAATACAGTATCTGTAAATGAAACTATTTCTGGAGAGCTACTAATAGAACTCACTTTGAATTGATCTTTAAATATGTTGAGACAAATATTTGTTGGTTTTGTTTTGTTTTATATCATTCACTAACCATCAGGTTATTTTGTTCTTAATAAAATGTAGCCTCTTTTCTCCTCTTTAAGTCACCTTATGCCAAAAACCAGGCTAACAACTGTTCTTTGGTCCTCACAACTTTATATATCCATGTATCTTGAAAATCCTCTCCCCCGCCCAAAAAGAAAAGCTTATTAAATGAAGACAGCAGATGAAGAAGTTAGAACCAATGATCAAATCGGGACATCCTAAAATAAACTTCTGGGAATTTAAAGATGGCAAACTATATTAGATATTCACTGCCTTCTTTCCCCTTTAAAAATACAAATTATACTTTAGTCTCAAGTCTTTGTGTATTAAGTAAACGATGTTTTTAGTATTCTTCCTTTCTAAAAAAACCAATACTAGCCCAGCTGGTGTGGCTCAGGAGTTGAGCGTCAACCCATGCACTAAGAGGTCGCCAGTTCGATTCCCGGTCAGGGCACATGCCCAGGTTGTGGGCCAAATCCCCAGTGTGGGGCATGCAGGAGGTGGCCAATCGATGTTCTCTCTCATCAATGTTTCTCTCTCTCTCCCTTCCTCTCTCTCCAAAATCAATAAAGAAAAAATATTTCTTTAAAAAAAAAAAGCAATACTAGTTATTGTATTAATTGTACATTAAATTAAATACACTAGATTAATTTTGGAAATTGGAGCCCGAAATCTGAGCATGTGCTGTAACCAGGAATCAAACCCGGACCTCTCAGTCTGTGGCACTGACGCTCAACTCACTGAGCCACACCAATGAGTTGGGCTCAGCCAAACTGGCCAGGGCTTAAAGAACTAATTTTTAATGCTGGCACAATTTTCCAAATCACAGGTTAAATAAAATCATGTATGACCCACCAGGGGCTTACTTTCTCAACATGGGCCCTGTGTACATGTGGGCTGGGCTTTCCTGCTCTGGAGGAAGTGGCCCCATATCTATAGACTGTTTAATACCTCTGGTCTCCAGTCACTAAGCCTCAGCAGTGGTACCCCCATCAGTCAATATAATTGAAAAACCACAAAATAAAAACCTACCCCTACATAATTCCAAATGCCACCCCCAGAGTGGAGGTCAGCATTGTTTCCAGCTGAGAAATGAATGAATGAATACAAACCTTGTCCTATTGAGTGAGCTTTCATAATGGATATAAGATAAAGTACAATGAGTGGAACATAATTGATTCTCATAATTTATAACTAAAACTGCTGTGCAGTAATAGGAATACATAGTGTCTGAGTGGTTTTCTCATTAGCTTGTTTAATGCTTATTTCTTTTTCTTTTTAAATACTCACCCAAGGATATGTTTATTGATCTTATTTAATTTTTTCCTTTATTGATTTTAGAGAGGAAGGGAGATAGAGATAGAGACATTGATGAGGAAGAACATCAATTGGCCACCTCCTGCATGCCCCACATTGAGGATTTGGCCCACATCCTAGACATGTGCCCTGACCAAGAATCAAACCAGCAACCTGTTTACTGATTTTAGAGAGAGTAAAGGGGGGAGAGGGAAAGGAGGGAATCATTTCTTAAAGACAGTTGAGACCTGAGTGCAGTTTATTTTGACGATCTGGAAACATGATTTTGATGTTATGACTGTTCAATGATATTTAAGTTTTTGTATGTTTAAACCACTTTATTACTTTAAAAATGCTTTTTGATTTTAGAGAGAGAGGAAAGAAGAGGGAGAGAGAGAAACATGGATGTGAGAGAGAAACACTGATTGGTTGCCTTCCATATGCACCCCGACTGGGGACGGAGCCCAAGACCTTTCAGTGCAGGGATGATGCTCACCAACAAAGCCACACTGGCCAGGGTTATTTTATTCCTTTTAACTTGCCATTCTGAAACAATGCTTTTTGAATAACACAACTTTTAATAATGTAACATTCCTTAGTATAGAATTGTGCTATTACAAAACAGACTGCCATAGTTCTGAAGGTGTGAAGAATGAAAGGCTATTTCTACATCTGTAAGTAAAGTAGTTTGGTGCAGAAGGCAAAGCCCTGGTCTGGCATGCCATTCACTTCAAAAAGGGTTTCAATAATTGAAGAAATTTGTATTAAAAAGGAAGCAAAGTTACTCTCTGAGTCAAGGAGCAACTGAGACTGCACATGCAGGCAAATCCACGGATCACGCTGAGGCATGTGCTGTTTGCTAACACTAAACACTGACATGAACAAGAGCACATGGATCGCCACTCAGACTATGTCTTCTGATCAGGGGACCACACACAAGAGCTTGAAAGAGGTAATATCTATTCAAGCTTACCACGGATTAAAAATAGTAACATTTCGTAATCATAAGCAGCTTGCTTTACCAAGGATATAGCTTATGGGATTTGAAAAGCTGACCAGATGTTCAACCCTAAGGAAAGCCATACTTCAGGATTACCTTTTGGGCATATTCATCACACGTTGGTCCCACAGGAATGACCATCACCTGGCAAGGAGACAGCCAGAAGGGCCTTAAGAAGAAATTAAAAACATTTAATGTGGATTTTCCTAAATAAGGATGGCACATTCATGTATTAGTCTACACTTTGCATCTTTTCCTGAAACATCTGAGCACCACTTTAAAACACATGGCTTTTTCTTCCCCATCATCCAATAGAGCAGTGGTTCTCAACCTGTGGGTCGCACCCCTTTGGGGGTCAAATGACCCTTTCACAGAGCTCGCCTAAGATCATCGCAAAAGACATCAGAAAAACCGAGACACGTCTCCTCTGTCTGTCTCCAGGCGGGTCCGCCCACATGCAGATACGCCCACATACCATAGGAGGAACTGTATTAAAGGGTAGCGGCACTAGGAAGGTTGAGAACTACTACAATGGAGTAAAGGGAGATGCAGGAGCAGAAAACTAATTATGAAAACTCTGTGACTCAGTTCTCTCTTGCTCAGCAGATGGCAAAGCAGATCGGAGCAAAGCCCGTGCCTCACACTGAACACATCAGGTAACAAAACACCAGCCGCTGGCGGCTAGAGAGGTTGGCAAGTTGCTCAAGAAACACACTTACTGATCAAGTTATTTTATTCAAAAAGTTATTTTGCTCAAGCTTTATTTTATTACTTATTCTTTGTGGGGAACACAGATAGTGCCTTCAGTTGATTCAAGATCCACTTTGCAGGATTCAGCAAATTGTAACGGACAGTGACTGGGGAAGGTATTTGGTAAAAATGAGTGTGCTTTTATTACTTAGTAAAAATAACCCACAGGGAGAACCATATGCAGTTCTCCCTGTGGGTTATTTCAGGTGTCAAACCCTCAGAGTTTCTCTTGATCATTCTTCTCTTTTAAGTTGTTTGGTTGCCTCAGGGAAAAGGCTGGAGCCCACTGATTCTATCCAAACAGTGGGCTTTTCCCACCGAGCACAGGTTTGGCAGAACAAACAGCCGAGGATCCCCTATTCTCTAGATTCATGTAGAGAATGTTTGCCATATTTACTTTGAGTTTGTGAAATATAACTGCAAAGAGATTATTTTGTTGACAAGAATGACAAACCCCCCTTAGTGTCTGAACTAACCAAATTGCAAATAAAGCTGAAATGACAGCAATGTAGGGGAAAACATTTACATCTCACAGAAGTTTTACATCAGGAGAACGAATGCGGCAGGCTCCACAAAAGGGGTGTTTCACCCCTGGTGCTGTTCCCACTGCCTTACAGACGGTGGGCCATGCCCGGCCGCTTGGAACATGAAATGAAAGTCACGTGCTCATGTTTCCAGCAAAAAATAACCTTACGAAAACAAGACACAAAATGTGGATTGGTCTGATGTCTGTACTCTCAACTAAAAAACTGTATAACTTCTAAAGGGAGTTGGAATACTTGCTTACTGTGCTCAGCATGCAGAACAATGCCAGCCAAAGCCTACTCTCGTTTACTCAAATATCAAATTTACTTTTGAAAAACAATCAAAATAACAAATATGCTTCTGTCTGAATAGTTCCCAATGAAAAAGTATTATATAACATTTCAATAAATCAAATTCTGAAATAAAAACAATTACTCATCACAAAATTCTTAAAGCTAAAAACTCTGGGTTTTGCCCTGGTTGGTTTGGCTCAGCCGTTAGAGCGTCGGCCTGCGGTCTGGAGAGACCCAGGTTTGGTTCTCGCTAAGGGCACGTACCTCAGTTGCAGTTTGTCCCTGTCCCTGGTTGGGTCGTGTCAATGGCGACCACTCGATGTGCCCCTTTCACGTCGATGTTTCTCTCTCTCTCTCTCCCCCTCCCACTCTGTCTGAACAAAATATCAAAAAATGTCCTTGGGTGAGGATAAAAAAAAAAAAAAAAAAAAAATCTGGTTTTAATTGTGATGCCTTACTTTTTGGTGAATACCTGTCATTAATTAGAAGTGACAAATTGCAATCAATCTCCCTTCCCATCACACAACCGAATTGGACAGCAAACATTTCTTTTTTTTTTAATCCTCACCCGAAGATATTTTTCTATTTATTTTCAGATGGAGGTGGAGGGGGAGGGAGGGAGGGAGAGAGGAACATCGACACGAGAGGGACACATCTACTGGTTGCCTCCCGCACGAACTGCAACCGAGGTACGTACCCTTGACTGGAATCAAACCTGCAACTCATTGGCCTGCGGGCGGACGCTCTAACCGCTGAGCATCCGGCCAGGGCAAGACAGCAGACATTTCTTATAGCCAATTTACATCATCCAGACAAAAACAGAAGGAAAAAATATAAAAATTACCATTTGCCCCCGTAGTTTTCAGTGAGGATAGCAATCATTCTTTCCACTGATCCCAGGATGGCTCTATGGACAATCACCGGCCTTTTCTTATCATCACCATCATGGCTAGGAAGAAAAAATAGTTTGTTGTCCTTTACTTTATGCATATATATGTATGTATGTACACACACACACATACCCCCGTTATGTCCTCGAAGGACACTCAGAACAGACACTAGAAACTCACCTCACAAACGTGAGATTGAATCTGATGGGCAACTGAAAATCCAGCTGGATGGTGGCACACTGGTGGTACCGGCCGATGGCGTCTTTAATCTGTATGTCAATCTAAGCAGCAAAGACTGGGTTATCGTAAGACGTCGTCTATATTAAAAGTGAACTCAGCAGTTGTTATTAGGGCTGATTCGCACCCCCCCCCCTTATTTAACTTAAAGTTATTTCCACCGAAAGGAAATCGGCATTCCTCAATCCACCTGGGTACTGACCTTGGGACCATAGAAAGCTCCATCGCCAGGGTTTAACTCCCACTTTTCACCAAACTCATTCAGACTGTTTTCAAGTTGCTGAAGATAAAGCAAAACTGATTTTAATTTTATTCCGCGGCAACGGGTCAGAGACTAAAAATACCGCGACTGCTTTCACGGGCCACCATTCTCTGCCTCACCACGCTGCGCACTTGAACAGACTCACGCAACCCGCTCAAGGTCACAGCCTGATGGCTGACAGCGCGTCCAAGCGTTTCTAGGTACAAAATCCTACAGAAAACACTAGCTTACTCAAACCTCAGGACCATTTCCAACTTTCTTTTGCTTTTATCCATGTAAAGAGGCTTGGCTTTCTTACCCTGTGCAGGAAGCCAATTTCAGTCAAGTAGAATTCAAGCATGCTGAAAAACACCACTTACTTTCTCAGCTTGATTCCAGACTTCAATATCTCCAAGGAATTTTTCCGGGCGAGTAGACAGGTTCAGTTTAAAAGAAAATCCAAATATGCTATATACTGTACGCAGAAAATCCAAACAACCTTTTATTTCAGCTTCAATCTTTAAATAAAAGAAAATGACACAGTGGTAATTTTCCTGGACCTGCGTGACCTTCCTTTCAGCGCATTTTATCCCACAAAGCCATACCTGCTCCATGGCACAGAATATATGAGCGTCATCCTGCTGGAACCTCCGCACCCGCGTGAGCCCCGTGAGCGCTCCCGACAGCTCGTTCCTGTGCAGGACCCCAAAGTCGGCCAGCCGCAGAGGCAGCTCTCGCCAGGATCTTGGGCGATGATCAAACATAAGGCTGAAGAAAAGAGAAAAGTAAAATCCACTGACATTTAACACAATAAAACCACTCCTCTAGTATTATATGAAAGGCTCTCAAAAAGCCACTGATTCCAAGTGGTTCAGACAAGCAACTCTGGGCTTCATCCAACAATGGGAGCACCAGCATGAATAAAACAACAAATAAATTATACCGCCATCCAGAACTGAGAATAACAAGCTCATCCCCAGGAGTCTGGAGTCACATCCTTGTGCTCAGTGTTTCCAAGCACTCGAGGACGGCCTTGAAGGCTCACAGTTAGAGAAACAGACTCAGCTGCACACAAACCACGGGTGACTCTGGAAACCGCAGCCGGTGCTTTCCTGTCGCGCTGACTGCTTCAGTTCTGTTAGTCTAAAGGTGTTTCAGACACTTTGAAGAAGGAACTCGGTTGGTTTCCTGGCCTCCGACCAGTTCCCATGGACGCTCCTCTCCCTCCTCTGCTGCCCTCGAGGCCCTGCCACGAGGAGCTGTCCACACAGACACACCTGGGGGCACAGCTCGCCCTAGTTTCCCCCAGGTTATTCATCCAACTTTCAAGAAAGCTAGAGGGGAAGAGGCCCAAGGCAAAGCTTCCCCAGGAAGTTAATTCACTAGCACTAGGCTTTGATAGAACACATTTCTTAAAAACAAAAAACAAAACTAGAGAAGCTGCTATATACCCCACATCCTGCTCCCTGTTTCATATTCTGCCTGCTCACTGCTACTACCCGTGACATTCTTCACTGTCTACAGATCTGAGGACCAGGTCAGGCACAGAAGAAATTATAATACCACAACAATGCTGCATTTAAATACTCTTCTGATGACATGATTTGTTTTTAAGGAAAATTCTTCCAAAGGAAGAATAGCAACCTAGGCCTGAATGCAGCAAGGAGAATCTTCCCCAAAAAGCTCAGAGCTGCCATACCAGTGTCCCGGGCAGTTCATGGGCTTCAGAGCAAACTGCTCCTTCTCCACCTCAAAGGAGAACATGTTCTCGCTGTAGTGCTGCCAGTGGCCTGAGGTCATCCACAGCCGGCTGTTGTAGATATTTGGGGTGACCACCTCCTGGAATCCTCGTTTCCTGTACTCACTCTGTTAGAAAACAAACAGAACGCATGCCTAGAAATCAATGCCCATACTCCTGGTGGGAGTAAAAAGTTAAAGAGCAATTTCATACTTCCCAGTGAAGTTCAAGGCGCACATGTGTTACAATCTCTAACTACTACTTGGAGGCATCGACCAGAGGAAACTCTTGCACATGCGCACAAGGGGGCCTGTCAAAGTGAAGCCCTGCAGCGCAGTTAGCAATGGGGAAAATTAGAAATTAGTCAGTGTCCGCAATAAAGGAGTGGGCATATTGTGGTATTATATAACGGAATAACGGGATAAATAACAATAAACTGCATCTCTATCGAAAAAAACCCCACGATCTGACTGATACACACTGAGATTGTGTGTTTGCAAATCTGAAACACACAAACAACTGAGGACACGTGTATGGGGTAGACAGACAATAACAAGGATAAAAAAGATCCATGCCAACTTCAAGAGTGGCTTCTTCTTGGAAAGGAGGAAATGGATCACCCAAAGGGGAGCTTGTCTCCCTGCTACTGTGTATTACTATACTCCAAACACAACCTAATGCAAATGTGTTAAATTAGGGGGCGAATGAATACACAGATGTCAATGTGGTATTCTCTATAAACGTATGCTTTAAACACTTCATAATTAAAAAAAAAAAGCAACATAGACTAACTTGCTTTTCTAAGGAAACTATAAATGAATGGTCCAACAGCACACAGGGCTCCTGTGTTAAGGGTTCTAAGTCTTTGTTCAAGGTCACGGGCTTCTGTTGTGTACACATCCATGTCTATGGAAAAGGTCACGTTTTAGAAAGAACAAAGTTTTTAAAAATTTTATGAGACCTCAGATTTCCATTTCTATTTATTCTTTTAAATGTTTCTTTTAAAATGCAAGGTTAGCTTTCCTTTTAGCAGATATTATTTAATAAAAATCAATTTATGTCCTAAATCTGCAGAAGAAAATAATGAATATGGCTTACCCTGAGGAATTCAATAAGTGTATTATAAATGTACGCTCCCTTCGGCAGGAAAAAGCAACTTCCAGGGCTGAGTTCGTGGAAGAAATACAGTTCTTGGTCCTGGATAAAAGAAAAGCAAAGAATGCTTACACGTGCACATAACACCAACATGAGCTTCGATGTTCTTGAGAGTACAGTCATGCTGTCTCACACGTGAATTTGTGCCATTCCCATCACAGAAAACACGCCAACAGTTCGGATGTGCAATCTAATGGTATACAACTGCGTTACCACAACTTAGTTCCCTGCTGATCACGTTCCTGAATCCAGTCAAATTTACCCAAGATGACATGGAGCACAGGTCTTAACTCTCTTCTCTCCAGAGGCAGCTCTCATGGTCTTAATTCCTTAAAGCCCTGAGATCTGGGTGCTTTACATTTTTTTTTTTAAAGTAGGAGTGGCAGGAAGGAGACTAGGAGAGAGACCCTGATGATGAAACAGGACGTGGAGATGAAGCTGGCTGAGTCTGGCCGTGGTGAATGCTGCACACCCTCCACCCCGCAAAGGCCCAAAGGCTCCCGGAGGGGCTGCACCCCCACTGCGGGCTTCCTTGCCACTGGGACGGATTTCGGTCAAGGGAGCGCGGCCGTGGACGCTGCGCGCTGCTCACTTCACAACCCACAGCCAAAGATGCCTGGCGCGGCGTAAACACAATTTCAGAAAGAAATGTTTTCATCTGAAACCTAACTTCCAGTCTGGAAAACATTCAGAGACAGAGATAAAGGAAATGACACCATGGGCTCCAGCAGGGACTCATGGGGTCACCTTGGGCAACGAGTGTAGTGATCTTTCTGGGACTCAGTCTCCACATCTTTGCACTAAGGCAGTGAGACCAGGAGAATTCCTCAGGCTCGGCTCTGAGGCTCCGCTATCCTGCTATCCTGCTATCCTGCTATCCTGCTATACCGCTCTAACGCTCTACTGCTCTACTGTTCTACTGCTCTACTGCTACACTGCTACACCGCTATCCCGCTATCCCGCTCTACTGCTCTACTGCTCTACTGCTACACTGCTACACTGCTACACCGCTATCCCGCTATCCCGCTCTACCGCTCTACCGCTACACTGCTACACTGCTCTACTGCTCTGACCGAAAGCAGCAGGTCGTCGGCACGCGGCCTCAATGAAAGGAATAGCTACAGTGAATTTTCCTGTCTGCTGCGCACCCTCTAGAAAGACAATGCGGACAATCAGTAATTTATGGCTTATGTAAGACAGCATGATACTTGAAAGTTAAAGCATTTCTTCACAAGGAAATTCTCAATACAGCTAAATACTTAATACAGCTCAATTTGAAATGAAAATAAACTCAGTCGAGACACATCATTGTTCTTTTTCTTTTTTAACATACCCTCCCAATCTTCCTGTGATCTCGGTTTCTAGCTTCCTCTTGGAACTTCTCCCACTCTTTCAACAACTTAGGGTCTGGGAATGAAATGCCATAGATTCTCTGGAGAGTCTCCATATCTGCTTTTCCTTCCCAGTACGTAGAGGAATTCTGAAAACAAGGATCAACCGTGAAACCATATTCAAGTCTGTAAATATTTAATCTCACTTATTTTAAAAGTTAGATGTTATTTCTCATAGTCACCTTATGTAGCAAATTCAGAGTCGAGTCCTCCTTACACAAGTAAAGTTCACAAAAAGCTCAAACTTGGTGAAAACCTCAGAGTGGCTCTGGGTGGAGCTGGGACAGCTGGGTTCACTCCGCAGCAGACGGCTGTTCGGTTCCCCCAGAAAGCCCACCCGAAAGCCCACCCAAACCACAACGCCACGAACGTGACTGACTGCGGGGGCCTCTTTCCCAAAACAAGCAAGCAGAAGTGGAAAATAAACCAACAGAAAAACCTTGAAATGACTCAATTATTCTTAAGATTTGAAGTGCACTTCACTAATCACCCATAAAGTCTATGAACCAGCAGGACTACCTTGGTTGACAAGAACCTGGGTAACTATGACCGCAGACACACAGTGGGCAGAAGCACCTACTCCTCCAGCGGGTCTCTAGCCCCTTGAGCCATGATGGCCATGCCGGTGTGATTTGGGAATGCCCAGACCTCCACCCCCACCTGCTCCGGTGGTGGATGGCCAGGGGCCACTGCTTGAGAGAATTTCTGCTAAAAACTGCTGATGACATATAGCACTCATAGTCAGGAGACAGCATGAGGGAAAAAAACCGACCCAAAAGAAAACTGGTAGAAAGAAACACCAGTACAAGTTTAAACATACAGCTATATACATTCATATGGAGAGTCTTTAAAGTTACATTGCTTACTTTGTGTATTTTCAAAGTCTTAATTTTGCCAGTGTGTCTCACATGAGGACCCCGGCAGAGATCTATCAAGGGGCCACACCTAAAGATAACATGAAAGGAATTTTAATAGAGACTTAAAATGACATATACACCAATTGTATTTAATGACATTTGATATTCTCACCTATAGACTGTGGTAGTTGGAGTATTCACCTTTTCATTCAATATCCGGCATTTGAACTTGTTGTACTGAAAATAGGAAAAATTACTTTTTAAAAAACCTCCTTTAACTTTATCTCTAAATATTATAGCTAAAATGTAACTCAAAGTTCATCTTATCAAAGCACTGTTTGATTATAAATAAGTCAATTTCGTGTTTTGGAACCAATGTTAAATTTTCCTAAAGAACAGAATAGGTTTCAGCATAGTACACTACACCCCAGTGTGATGATTTCACGTAACATTTAATGGAGGTTACAAGAGTAGATGCCAGGTTGCAAATCAACCCACCTTAAACATTTCCAATAAAGTTTCCTTCTTAACTTCCAATCTTTCAAAAGCTTGCTTTTCTTTAATGATTTTCTTACATAAAGTCTCTAAAGAAGAGAAATCATTGCTGGACACACCTCTGAAAGAGAAGAAAGTATAAAATTAATTTCTTTCCATTCCATTCTACTCACACCACAGGTTGAAGGCATGTTGCTTTAGAATAACACTTTAAGGGATTTAATTTAAAAAAAAAAGAAAGACCCTTGCATCGTATATCAGAATTGTGAACTAAACATCTTTCATTGATTATTTTAAAAATTTGTATTTTCAGTGGCTTCTACCTTGGTCACCACAGATTGTTCTCACTAGTGAATCCTTCCTCCAACTCTGTAACAGGTGTAAAGGAGAGGAAAGGCCTGGCTTCATTTTATTTCCCAATATACCTTAAGGCTCTGTCTCCACTGATCTTGAACAAAACTCTCCCTAAAGTCTCTACACCTTTATAAGTGACCACACACTTCAAGTTTTAATAGTGGGAAGGCCTGATGACTATGAAGCAATAAGCATTATTATCACTCCTCCTTTACTGAGAACTCTTCAAATATAACATATGGACTCATGGTAAGTCAGATTTTATTTGTCTTTATCCAGTTACAAAACTTACCCTTCCTCAAGGTACATGTCATAATAGAATCCATTTTCTATTGGTGGACCATAACATAAGCATCCTCCATAGACTCGCTCCATGGCTTCACCCATTATGTGAGCACTTGAGTGCCAATACACCTGAGAATTCAAAGGAGAATGAGAAGGTTTAAGACAGGGCACACACACTGTAAGTTACTATGGTCGTCTGAAAGAGGTATATAAAATTTATTATAAATAAACCCAAGACATAAAAATCTAAACGTACAAATCTATAAACTGCAGTGTGATTCTACACAGAGCCAAAATAATTTAAAAGGATGCTAATAACTAAAGTGTATTTATACCTCAGAAATCACCTACTTTGTTTTCAAACTAATTAAATTCAAATTAACATAATTAACTAAATGGGATGGATTTTGTTCCCTGACAAAGTCGCACTCACAATGCGACTGTCTTCTTGTGTCAGTGTGCCCACACCCCATGGGCCGCGCTCCGCCTCTGCCGGGTGCGGAGCACCACTTAGAATACGTCCGTCCAGCCCTGGCCAGTCTGGCTCAGCGGTTGGAGCGTCAGCCTGCGGTCCAGAGAGACCTGGGTTCGGTTCCCGCTAAGGGCATGTACCTCGGTTACAATTTGTCACCGGCCCTGGTTGTGTTGTATGGGTGGCAGCCACTCGATGTGTCCCTTTCATGTCGATGTTCCTCTCTCTCTCTTCCTCTCCCTCCCTCCTACTCTGTCTGAACAAAAAGTGGAAAACTGTTCACAGGTGAGGATAAAAAAAAAGAATATGCCTGTCTTTTTTTCTTTTTTTTATCCTCACCCGAGGACATTTTTGCATTTATCTTCAGATAGAGCGGGAGGGAGAGAGGGAGGAAGAGAGAGAAATATCGATGTGAGAGAGACTCCTCGAGTGGTTGCCACCCACACAACCCTAACCGGAGCCGGGGAAAAACTACAACCGAGCACGTGCCCTTAGTGGGAACCGAACCCGGGTCTCTCCGGTCTGCGGGCCGATGCTCTAACCCCTGAGCCAAGCAGGCCAGGGCTGTGTGCCTTTTTCTTACTGGCCCCACACAAAGAAGGCAGTACAACTTGACCCCACAACACAACTAGAGATTACAAGGACAACCATATGGACACTTGGTTTGAAGGTGGTCATTCAGATGAGTCAGAATACATCCAAAGCAATGTTTTAAAGACATAATAGGAAGGTACCCAAATGATTTTTAAATTTCTCTTTAAAAACCGAAGGAATTCACAATACACTTGAAAACCACTGATTCACATACATAAGTAAACCCTCATCTATGGAACAAAAAAAACAACAGTTTTATCTCCCTTCACGTGGCCCCGTGAGGGGCTCAGGGGCACGCCTTGCCGTCACGTCACGCGCAGGTCGGTCTCACTGTGCTTTCGGCACACGTGCATTTGAAGGTGAAAAAAATATGGAAATCAACTTTCCAATATAAAAGTACTTTAAGTAATGTTCAGATCTATTCATTAAATATATATATACGTCTTGCTTAAGTACTGACCGACAGTACAGAAAATAAGTTTTACTTGCTTAATCAATTTCTAATAACATTTTAATAGAATTTCCAGAAGAATTTCCCCATTTAATTATCTGGTAGAGAAAATAAATGTACCCCCAACTTCACCTCTTGATTTTATAAGGCAAACACTTTTATTGTGTTTCCTAAATGAAAGACAAAAATGAAGATTTCGAACGTGACAGAGACCCGCACTTCCGTCGCCTCCTGGCAGCACAGTGCGCTGAGAACCAGCCTCCTGCAGTTCAGTGAATGCTGGGTGAACACTTACTGCTTGAGCGTCCTCATCCTCGAACTTGAGAAGCTCCAAGGTACAATCTCCCTCCAGAGGACGGTCGAGGTCCCAGACAGCTTTGTTCACCTTGGCAATGACGGTGTTGTCAGCCAGGCCTTGGCTTAAAAAGAACAGCAAAATAAACACTGTATGTTACATATTAACACTATATAATGTATATATATTTATCTAATACAATTATATACATAACAATTATATATGTATATATAATTACACTATGACATTACATATACTACACTACAGTATACTGTACTATAACACTTATATATATATCTTTCTGGAATAAAATGGAAAAAGCAACAAAACTCCTAAATGTACCAGTGTATCTAAGAATATAACTATGAGATCCTGAAAATCCAAAACACTATTTTATGACATTTAATAGATAGACCAACTTGACTAAACAATTTTCAGTAGACTGGCTTATTCCCCTCCCCCGCAAGTAAGTTCTCCCCAAAGCCAAGCTGTTCAGACACGTGGCAAAAGGGGGACCGCGGGCACTGAGTAACTTCTCTGCTCTATCTCCCGTTTGAAATCTGTAACGGAATTTTTTTGAGAGGCAAAGCTAATCTCAAAATAGATTCTGCAAAGCCGAACATGGTATCATAGGTAAAATACAGGACTATTCGATACACATTTGTTAGTACTATGGATAAAGGCGTCAACCAGAACGGCATATGGCACAACTGCTGTCGCGTGATGAGACGCCAGCCCACACCAGAGGGGTGGGAAGCCACAGGCACTGAGGGGAAAGCAGCACAGGTCAGAGGGGTCTGCGCAGGCTTGAGGATAAAGCAATGAGGGGCTTAAGGATCAAAAGATCTGGGCAGGAAGAAAAGGAGAAGAGAAGGCACTCCAGAGGGAATGGGCATGGACACAAACGGGAATGCGAGTTAAGAGGGGGTCAGGAAGCTTCGAGCTGGATTGAGTACGGTCGGTCAGGTTGTAGCTCGGTGAGTGTAGGTAGAGAAATGGCAGTGTGTAACAGTCCTGACAACCCAACGGGAGCAGGCAACACTCTCCTGTGAATGAGAAGGGGGCAGCCTTCACAGTCAGTCTATATATACCACCGAAGGCTTAAGCTAGCTAGAGTTGCTGTGCTGGGTGGTTCTCTCCTTGCTCTGTTTAAGTTTAAACAACCTCCCCAACTTAAGCACAGAAGAACAAACAGAAAGTAAACAATAAATTATTATCCCATTGTCAATGTTCCCATTAAATTTCCCATAGATTATATCCAATGTTTCCTATCTTCCTGAGATCAAACGGAGCCAATAAAATGTACACATTTCATAAAACATACATGGATTTGGCAGAGAGAAACGTATCATTTGGTGTAAAGCAGTTTCAGACGACTAAAGAACTGATCAAAAGGCAACTACTCTAACTCTATAATCTTCTGGGGAAAAATGACTTTTATCTTAGGGTCCAAATGGTGCCATGTGATGCCAGCAATGGTTACTTTCAAAATGAAGATTACACATGGACCATACTGGATCATTTCAATTTCCCAAAGAAGGGATAAAATAATCCATACTTTAAGACTTAGAACAAAACAAAACTTCAAAGAAAAACCTTTTGAAGCAAATGTAGCATGCCTTCTGTTTTCTTCCCTTTCATACTCATTACTAATCATCTGAACCTTTACATAGCCTGTTATTGATGCTGTAATTTTTCACAGAACAATAAGTTACTCTGAACTTTTGGAAAAATGCCTTAAAGCATCCTCACTTGTAGATCAGTGACTTTACTCTGGCTCTAAAGCTCATTAATGTATTATGCAATTCAATTCAGAATTTTGCAGTTCCTGAAAAATTATTTTCAATTGGCCACTGGATAAACTACAATGCAATCTGAAGGACAGTATTACAGAATGTAAAGAAAAAGTTCCTGGACTAATAGGAGCCTGAATTTTAATACCGACACAGCTACAATACCAGTGTGCAACAATGGAGGAATCTCTTCACCAAATGACCTTCAAAATCACCTCTAAAATGATAGACTGAACAAATACTTAAAGGTCTATCCAGTTATTATTCATGATCTCACATGGGAACTTGCATGATATTACAACTTTCTTATTTCCTTTAGAGTAAGGTAGAAGTACTTAAGTTACAAGCAGTGGTCACATCAACTAAAACACTCCACTCTCTGTAAGAAGCACTAACCAACGTCCACGGCGCACTGAAGACTCATGGCCCGTAGGCCCAACCGCCTCTACTTCCGCCAGCTTCACAGTGGGCTTACCAATAATCAGCTGGGTCGTTCCTAACCTGTTTACTTGTTATTTTTTTTGTCTTATGTTCAACAATATGAAAAGGATAATAATCAACCATTTCTGATAACAACTAATGATTTCATATGGTTCAACTCAACATCCCTATAATAGTATAAATTAAAAAACATAGAATTAAATAATAATACAAGGGAACTATGGTTTCTATGAAAACCAAGATGAATGTTTGGGAAAGCTTGATAAAGGCAGATCACTAAAAAAGATTTGTCAGGTTCGGTGTGGATGAAGTAACTATATAAAAATCTGGAAGAATTCTGTAGTCAGATTGCTTCTCAAGTATGTTAAGATAATATAAAACTCAAATTGGCACTGTACTCCAAAAAGCTTTGGAGATATATAATATATGTATACATACTCATATATACCCATAATCAGTGAATAAATATCCAGGGGTGAGCAAAAGTATGCCCACCCCATATATTTACATGTTTTATGTTAAAATGTTTCAGACAGAGGTTGACACACTTTTTCTGTAAAGGACTATAGTATATGTATTTTAGACCGCAGGCCACCCGTGATCTCTGTTGCACACTGTTCTTACTTGTGGTATTTTTTCAAACCATTGAAGAACCACTCTTAGCTCTTGGGCTGCACAAAACCAAGCTATGGCCAGCCTGCCAACACCTGGTATCAGATACAGGCAACAATTTACGCTTTCCCAACTATATCATTTTCTGATAAATGGATTCTACTGATCCCCAAACCACATGATTAAGAAAGCATTTCCTCTACTACAGAGTATGCATCTAGTTCTCACCTACTTCTTCCCAACCCAATAAAAGTGTTAAGGTTTTAAAGACTGGACGTGGCTCTCCTTTAGATTGATAACACACATTTTTTCATGCGTCATATACTGTATTAGTTTCCTCACTTTCCCCTGTGAGATGTTCAACCTTCATTTAACTTCAAAACTGAGACATTTAAGTCAAAACAGGTGAAACCATGTCTACTTGTTGTTTGTGACATGTATGATCAGGGTAGAAGAACAAACATAAAATCCTTCATAAGATGAAACCAAAGTGGAGTCCCTAAGAAATTAACTTTGAATCTTGACAAAAAGTTCCACATCATCTTGATTGGGAAAAACCCCAAATAATGTAAATTAAGCATTAAAAACATTGAGCAGTAACATAAAAATGTTTTGAGGCTACAACTTGGCAGGATGGTATTTTTTATTTACAAACAACAGGGCAAGACAGGTGCAGCCCGTACCTAATGCCACAAGCGATTTGATAGGGTGTCGTTTTCCAGGATTCCGCATCGACCTGTTTGCCATCGGGCAGGGTCACTTTAATGGGCTTGCTATCTTTTTCTGCCTTTTCTGCCAGAATGGCATCGTGTTCTGCTTTTAGTTTGTTATACATCTCAAGGCGCGTGTTAATATATTCAGGCCAAGGATTCAACTGCAAGACAACAAATGAAGAAATAATCAGTAAATACTTGCTTTCTTTTTTATTTTTATTTTTTAAAATTTATCTTTATTATTGCAAGTATTACATATATCCCCCTTTTTCTCCCCCATTCACCCCCTCCTCCCCGTTCCCACCCTACCCCTACTGCCTTTACCACACTATTGTACGTGTCCATTGGTTATGCATATACGCATATAAGTCCTTTGGTTTATCTCTTCCTGCACACCCCTCCAAAAAGGGAAATAATAGAAACAGACAATACAAAAAATATTATTACTAATTCAATGTGGTAAATGGATTCCCAAAAAAACAAGCATTACCTTAAGGTTGTCCTACATAAAGGTAAGAAAGAAATTAAATGCTCTCTCCTTATAATTTTAAGAAATTTAAAAAAAAAATAGAGGAGTATAAATAACAATAAATACCTGGCTGCCAACATCCTAAATGAACGATTCTTACCACTTTGCTATGATTTGCCTAAGGTAATTTTTTTTTTTTCTTTTAAGATATTCTCTTAAGGACTTTTCTAATTAAACGATCTTATAAGTACAACTATATACAATACTAGAAATGAAAACTGGCTGCCTTTTCCTTTTGTTTTAATTTTGTTCAAGGGATGATCTGTGAAAACTGATCAGACTATATGTCTACTCACAATTTTTAACTAACCAATTATAAATTTATTTGACTTCAGGGCTCTCATTCAAAGGAAGTCTTTACTAAATTCAAAGAAGCTAGGATCTCTGAGTATTTCTCTCTTGGGAGTATTTAATTAGCAAATATAAGAAAACAGCACAACACTACTATCTATAGTACATTAAATTAACCAAAATATTTTATATAAAATACCTACTCAGGTTCCCAAAAGTTTGACAAAGAAAGAAAAACAATGAGATAAAAATCAGAGATTTGACTTCCTCTACTGTTAGGAACTTCAGTGTTTAAAAGCAGGTGGTGAATCTGTGGTCGCAGAACAGTCAAACACTAACATCTACATAATTTACGAACTTCAAATGAAAATAACATGGGTTCTAACAGCTACACACAAAAGCAAAGAGGAGATGGCTTAATTTTACCACAGGTTTCTATCTTCACATAGTTGTAAGTCAATCAGCTATAATAGTTTATTCAAATATATGCTTTAAAACTTACTCAGTTTGGACAATGCTACCCCAAATTCTATATATAACATATATCAATTTAACACACTTACTCTGAAAGGAGTTCAAGCTAGTATCTAGTACTTGAGAAAATGACTTGTGATAATAGAAAGTAAAAATCGACCACACTATATGGACTCATTATTTACCCAACTTGGGTTCCATGGTTTCTGGTGGTCACAGTTATCCACTATGTCAACCTCAGAGGTTAATAGTTCCCTAAATATCATAGTAAAAAAGAAAACCATAGCCAGCCATATTATTAAAAAATATATATATATGTTTTAAACTGTCTGAATATAACTAATTAGAACAATAAGTTACCCATTCACAAGTCCTCTAATCATACCCTTTGTTTTCTGTTTCCAGGCGCATTCTCAAGCTGTGACAGAATAGCATGTGCTACTGTACTGAAATTATAAATCAGGGAACATACACATTTTTGTTTTGTTTTGTTTTTTTTGGTTCGTGCCCCTAGTGGGAATGGAACCTGGGACTCTCTGTTCCGTAGGCCGATGCTCCAACCACTGAGCCAAACTGGCCAGGGTGCATTTTTCTATTCACTTGCAAATTTAAGTTCACAATCAATAATTTCCTTCACAGCCCTGGCCTGTTTGGCTCAGCAGTCAGAGCATCGGCCTGCGGACCAAAGTGTCGTGGGTTCAATTCCGGTCAAGGGCATGTACCTCGGTTGCAGTTCCATCCTCAGCCCTGGTTGGGTCATGCTGGAAACAACCAATTGACATGTCTCTCACATTGATGTTTCTCTCTCCACCCTCCTCCCCCTCCCTTCCTCCCTCCCACTCTATCTGAAGATAAATGGAAAAATATCCTCGGGTGAGGATTAAAAATGATGATGATAATAATAATAATTTCCCCCACATTAGAGTGGGATGTAATGGACGACACATAACAGAAAAGGTTAGGCAGGGCTCTAAGCAGCCCTTAGTGATTCTTGATCACCTACAAACTTACCCCTGGGTAAATGAAAGCACTATCACTTAACAAGGCAGCATTTGTAAAACAGCTCTTTCAAAGCCAGTTTATTGTGCTACAGTACCCTTCCTATTACAGCCTATCCCTTCGTTCCTCTGCATTCTGGTTGTTTTCTAACGAGTCTTTAATAAAATGGTTGCAATGACTACAACAAAAAGTGATACACAGTTCACTGTTCAACTTCAAAAGTAAAGTAGGAAGATGAGCTTAACTGCTCCTCACACAGAAAACCCAAGAAACAGGTTGATTCTGGGCTGACTTTTGAAAAGCCACTTCCTTTTAGTCTGAGCGTGGGAAATGAGAAGCATTTTCACTATAGCTGAGAGACAAATTTGTCCTGGTTTAAAACCAAACTCTGGCCAAGCAGGTCCAGGTGGAAACTGTGAATGCGGTGAAGGACGTGGGCTTTCTGGGTTTGCACTGTACTCAGTACAAGCTCCAGCACCAAGGTGTCCTCTGTAACACTCCTGGAATATCAGGCAGCTGGCATCCAATGAGGCAACTGAGTGATTAGTGTCCTTCTCTCCAACCTCTGTTCTGATTTTCATGTCTAATCCCACAGATTCTCTTACAACCATATTTCAGTTGTTTTCCTTTTTCATTAACAGCAGCAAGTCTTTCTTCCCTACCAGACTTTGCTAATTATTCTCCCTGAAATTTCCATCTTAAAATCCCATGTAAACCTTGAGAATCGTATGCACAGTAAGTAGAGACAGCTCTCTGCCACCTGTCAAATTTGAAAACAGAGCCCTGAAACATTTACCTCTGCTCGACCTCCATCCCCGGCCCCTTCTTTGTTCTTCTTCTTGCCTTCTTCCTTTCGCTTCTCCTGACTGGCACCTACCTAAATAAACAAAAAGAAAGGAAGGTTTTATATACTAACTTAATTTGACACCCCTTCATGCTGCCCCCACCCCCCCGGAACAGTTTAGAGCAGTGGTTCTCAACCTTCCCAATGCTGCGACACTTTAATACAGTTCCTCATGTTGTATGTGGACGTATCTGCCTATGAGTGGACCCGCCTGGAGACGGACAGAGGAGCAGTGTCTCGGTCCCTAAGACCATTGGAAATATGTTTTCCGATGGTCTTAGGCAACCCCTGTGAAAGGGTTGTTCAATCCCCAAAGGGGTTGCAACCCACAGGTTGAGAACCGCTGGTTTGGAGGATGTTATTTTAGCATCTATATTTTAAAGAGTGAAAATCTGATTTTGAAAGACCAGAAACTTTGACCACTGTCAAAGATAAGTTAACAACTTACAATAAAGACAAGTCCTAAAAAAGCAGAGAAGTTACTTGATAACGTTCAAGTCCTCACCTTTCATTTATTTTGCCTGTTCCCATTACTCTCGCTCCAGGTTTACGTGGACATATACTAAACATGTAGCCACAAACAAGCATGTGGCTGATTTACTGACAGTATTTTCAGAAAAAGAAAACAGTGCAACATATATCCATTCATTCCACCAGTACTATTGAGAGCCTCTGTGCTCACGATAGCGTTAAACCCTGCGCAAGAAGCAAACACAGGGCCCAATCCCCGCCACGTGCGACTTTAATTTCTCCAGGGAAACGCAGGCACACATGTGCGAGAAACTCAGGGCGGGGCAAGAACACACTTGCAGCACTGTGATTCAATGTCAGATAAGCTAGGACAACAGTGAGTGTTCGTTAGGACTTTCAAGAAGATGTCAACAGGCTGGATTTCGAGAGGGACATGTGTCCAAGGTGGACACATAAACTCACTGTCGGAAATGTTAGAAAGACCAAGACAGTGACAGAGGGAGAGTGAGAGGGACAGCCGGACTAAACAGGCTGACTAAAGCAGGGTTGTTTTAGAAAATAATGGAAGCTAGGACAAAGGAGGGCTCAGGTGGAAGCATGCACTGAAAGTTACCATGAGGAATGGGGATCTCAGCTAGAAGCACGCGGAGTCACAGAGCATTTTAAAGTAGTAAGCCCTGTGCAAAAAGGCAACCAGCAGCAGAGTAGGTCTATACCAGAGCTCTCAACCAGAGGCTATGTGCTCCATAGCGGACATTTGACAATGTCTAGAGACATTTTTCGTTGTCACTACTAGGGGGTGCAACTGTCCTCTAGTAGGTAGAGGCCAGGGATGTTGCTAAACATGCAACAATGCACAGGACAGCCCCCTGCAACAAAGAATTATCCAGTCCACACATCAATGGTGTTGAGGTCGAGAACCCTGAAGTATATTAGGAATACTGTGAGCAGGATTTTCTCAGAAATGCATCCCTTACCTCACTGTGACTGCTCAGTCAGCAAACTGCACTACAAAAAGTTTCAGTTTACAAAGTTCTTCCACAATCACATCTGATTTTCATAGCAACCTTGTGAGGTGGCTATTACTATTATTATCCCCATTTTACAGATAAGATTAACTGGAAAAAGTTAGATGATTTCTCTAGGTTCACATAATATGTGAATGGCAGGAAAGACACTTATCCAGATGTTGACAGTGGCCAACTCTAAGGAGTTGTGATCATTAGTAGTAAGGAAGTTTTGAGTGTAGAACTAGGGATATGAAAGGGGGACTTTATTACAGTTTTGTATGTTTAGGACCTTTGATTTTTTTTGGTAACAGTTTTTTTGAGATATTTTCCTATACAATTCATCAACATAAAGTATAGAATTCAATGGTTTCTAGTGCATTCACAGTTGTACGACTATCGCCACAATCAATTTAGAACATTCTCATCACCCCAAAAGGAAACCCTGTACCCATTAACAGTCACTCCCTGTCCCTGTCACACCCACTTTCCCAGCACCTGACAACCACTAATCGGCTTAGTTTCTCTAGAAGTCCATATTCTAAACATTTTATCGTATGTGGTCTTTTGTGACGGGCTTGTTTCACTTAGCACAATGGTTTCAGGACCATTTAAGTTACATGTTTCAGTACTTCTTTTTTTATTGCCACATAATATTCCATTGCTTATTTATCCATTTAACAGTTGGACATTTTGGTTCCTCTTCTGAATCGTATAAAACTTATGACTTGTATAATTTAAAAAATAAATGACTAATTTCATGCTGAGCTAAAATTTCCCTCACTCTGGAATTCTGAATTTAACAAACTTTTAAGGTTCATTTAAAGTCAACAGATGAATAATCAACATAATTTAAGTCCATTCTAATCAAGTACTAAAAAACAGGGTTACAAGATTCCCTATATGCCTTCACTATAGTACTACAGAAATGATTTAACTAGTCAAGTGAATTGGGTAGGAGAATGGGTAAAAACCAATTACAGGTTTGTCTGTGCAGGTTTAAAATAGAAAAATAATAAAATAATTCTATTTTTCTGATAAAATGTCTTCGGTTTTGGTCATATGGATATTTATCAAATGAGTAAGAGTAGTAGAAAAGAGGGAAACAATTAATACGTCCATTTTACAAATGAGAATACTGGCTCAAAGAGGTAATTCGCCCATTAGTACACAGGTGCTAAGTTGTAGAGCTGGGACAGTAAAACAGGTCTCTTGGAACCAAGGCCCACTCTGTCTTTACTACAATTGGGGACACAAGCAACTGTTCTATTTCCAATGAAAACAGAACAAAAACATGTGAATTTATGTGTTACATATTTACGTAAAAGCAATCTAAAATTTCAACCCAAAAATGGGGACACAGAATCAGATTGTGAAGGGAAGCTACAGAATTACCTCCCTTGGATATTTAAGAGTTGAAAAGAAGTATCTCAGAGTGTACTTTAAGTAAATCCAAACCCAGAAACTGACAGCTGGGATAGGTATTTCCTGGGAATCCAATAGTTTCATGGAGTATCTGTCCTTGACTTGTTTCCAGGCAGATGACAGGGGGCAGGACAGCACTGGCGTTGAGTATTGGCTACAGAATATTGGGTCTGAGCAAGTTACTGTTCCAATGCCTATATCCTCATCTGTATAATGGAGATAATAACAAGATCCAGTTCACAGCTATGTTGAGGACTGAAAGAATGAGTTAATGCATGTAATATAGTGCCAGACTCCACAGTTAGCACTCAATATATACTAGGTATTGTGCAATTATTATTAAAGAAGGGAGATATATTTATTAGCCATACATCCTCTCCAATTAAGAACGGCATAGTAGAATAGCCATGGACATAGAACCCTGACTACAGACTATTAAGCAAAAAAAAAAAAAAGTAAAGTTACAAAGCTGTAAAGATATCATTTAAGTGAAAAAATATGGATAGGAAAAAGTCTATGAACAGGCACGATTTATCACTTTCAATTTAATTTATATAGTTTAGAATGTGCACATATGCACCTTCTCCATTCAATCCCCGCGTTAAAAGACATACTCATTTTACAGATGAGAAAATTGCGACTTTTAAGTGACCTGTCCAATCAGAGAGCTGGCTTGAGTCTCCTTTAGCTGAAGAGCTCCCCTCTCACTTGGCCTATTACAACAGCCTCTTGCGTGTGGTTTCACCTCTTTCCAATGCACCTTCCACCCCAAAGCTTGCATGATCTTTAAAACTACAATTCACACCTGTCACTTCCCTGCTTAAAAACTTTCACTTGTAGAAAACAATTCCAACCATTCTTGGTTTCCTAAAATCCTTCTGATTGCTGTGGCTCCTCCTTGAAGCTTATCTCTTGCAAGCAACCCCAAGACCATTCATTCATTCACCTTTACCTGGAAAGCCCTGCCCTATCTGATTTACCTGGGGAACTTACATTCATTCTTCCAAACCCAATTCAAGAGCCATCCCAAGCATAATTAGCACTCCAGCTTCTGCAACCCCACAGCAAGATGACTGTTCACCTGTCTTTCACACACCAGCCTGTGAAACCCTCAGGGCCAGGCTGGGTCCTATTCACTAGCCCAGCATGCAGAATGAATACCTGACATTATTTGTTAATCATAAAATCAAAACACCAACAAAAAAACTCGACCTGGCGGCATGAAAATGACCCTGGAGATGTTCCTGAGCAACAGATGACATAAAAGGTCAAATTCAAAGGTCAAATGATTGGCATGAAATAAGATCAGGCATGCCTGCAGCACCAGTCAGGAGAAGTGCAGGTAACTTGTCTAGATCAGATCGTCGGGCCTCCGCCCTTTATTATAAAACACCCAAACTTGGGCAAGTTGAGTCAGAGCTCAGGAACTCGGTTTTCTCCTCCTTAAACTAGAGCCTTTCACCCTTAACAGTGTTTTAGGGTTAAATGGGTCTCTGCAATGCTCGTCTCGCCTAAGGTGAGGTAAACACACTAGGCAGGGAGTCCCGTAATTCTGTTTCTATTTCTAATTAGAGGTGTCGCCCTGAGCAACTAACTCAAGGTCCAGTTTCCTCAACTGCAAAAAGAGGATGGAGCGGGAGATGACCTGCAAGGCTCCGCCCTGCTTTGACACGCCCAGGGGCTCCGCCGTCCCCCTCGGGTTCCTCCGCCTCAGGTGGCCCCCGCCGGGTAGGGCCGCCGGGCAGGGCCGCCGAGCACCAAAATGAGCCCCAGCCCGGCTTCCCGCCCCACTTACCGGCTTCTCCTCGCCTTCCATCTTCCCTGAAGGGCTCCTGGCCTTCTCCTCGGACATCGGCCAAGCACGAGGAGAGGACAGAACTCAAAAGCGATGGTCTGACGGAGAGGAGGGCGGAGGCGGGTCAGAAGTGGGCAGGGGCCCCGGCGAGCGCGGCGCTTGAGCCACGTGGCCTGCAAGGGACCAGCTGATGCAATCCGAAAGCACCCAAGCCCGCTCCTCATCTTCCGGGGAACGGGCAGCCAATCGACAACGGGGAAAGGCGGGCTCTCCCTTCTCCAAGCCAATAGGATGGCGTGTTAGGTGACAGTCGGTCGAGGACGTCAGAGTGCGGCGGGGAGCCAGCCCTGGGCTGGTCCCTGGACTGGTCCCTGTCCTGAGCCGGGAAGTCCGCACTGCGCGTGCGCCTACCTTTCTGTCTGTCGCGGCCTATTAGTCCAGGGCCTTTCTGGCCACCGTAGCGAAGGCGAGGGTCTTGGTTTGAGCTTCCCGGAAGTCCCCTGAGTCCTGAGTACCGTGCCTGGTCTGGGACGGTACCGGCCCAAACCCTGCTCTGGACCATCCAGGCTTCCCGAGACCCAAGGCTTGGTGGCCGGGGACGAGCGCCTCTCCTCGCACACTCCTACCACGTGCCATTGCCAATCCGGTGCACCGGGAGGATTGCCACAGGAAATGAAACTCCCGTGGAAACGCAGTGACACTTCTGCGTGCGGAAATGACCGCGGAGACTCCACGGCTCACGCAGACGCCTCACGTTTGCAACAGTTTCTGTTCGAAGTCGAGCGCAATGAGCTCGTTTCCAGTTCTGTACTCTCTGGTTTGATTTTGTAAACACCAGTCCCCTCGACACGACATCCCACCACCTTCAGGGTCACCCTTGCGGGAAGAACGGGCGCCTGCCTCCGGGCATTCGGCATCCATTCTTCACGGGGCACTCCGGGTAGTCTTGTCAATACAAATTCAGTCTCGGAACCTTCTGCGTAGAACTCTCCAGGGGCTTTCAGCTGCTCTTAGAATAAAACGGGCGTGGCTTCGAAGGCGCCCGGAGGCCCAGCGTTCTCGCTCCCCCACAAATATCTGGGTGGTGCCGAGATTGTCCTCCCCATCCTCGTCTCTGCCTGCCTCCACACACCTTTTGCTTGTTTAGCACGTACCTATTTGTCAGATCTAAAGAATAGTTTTCTTTGGAGAACCATTTCCTGACCACCCGTACTGGATGGAGCAAGTCTCCCTGTTGTATCTGCTGGTAGCTTTATGTAATTCTTTTCGTAGCACCTATCAGTTCGATTTTACAATTAAAAAAATATTTTATTGTCTGTTAGATTGGAAGTGTCACAAATCACAGTGTATATTTTTGCCAGCATCTGGCACAGTTGATGTTCAGTAAATGTTAAGGGAATTAATGAGTGTTGAGACACACCTTGCTTGAACAATTACCTCTTAATGGAATACTATTCAGCAATTAAAAAAAAAAAAAAAAAAGGAAATCACCTTTTGCAATAACATGGATGGACCGGGAGAGTATTACACTAAGTGAAATAAGCCAGTCAGAGAAAGAAAAGTACCAAATAATTTCACCTTTATATGGAATCTATTGAACAAAATAAACTAGCAAAATAGAAGCAGACTCATAGATACAGAGAACAGACTGACAGCTGTCAGAGGGGTGGGGGTTGTGGGGCTAGGTGATAAAAGTGAAGGGATTAAGCAAAAGCAAAGGAACAAAAAAGCCCTCATAGACATGTTTACCAGAGGGAAAGGGGGGGTGAGAGGAGGGAGAAGAGGGTAAAGTGGGGATAAATAGAGGTGAAAGGAGGCTTGACTTGGGGTGGTGGACTACAATACAATATGCAGATGATGTATTATAGAATTGTACATCTGAAACCTATATGAATTTATTAATCAATGTCACTCCAATAAATTCAATTAAAAAATAAATACTACCTTCTAATTTGTAATGTGAAAAATAAGCCAAAACCCCATTCTAATTATATCTGGAAGAAGGTTTGTAATAAGAGTAGATTATTGGTAGTACTTGGTGGGTCTTCTCCTTAAAAAGTTCTAGGAGTTACTACAATTCTAGTAGACTTAAGTTCATGATTCTGACTAGAATTGTCAGAATCATTAGAATGAGAATCAACAGGATCGAATCTTACCTTCTAATAGAAAACAATTTAATTATGCTCTTTAGACATGTTTGCCTGAATTGTATCTCAATTTTAATTTTAAATGAGGATAATGAAGATCAGAAAGACTAAGATTACCGGTTTTGCTAGAGGCCCAACAGTACAGGCTAAGGATTACAGATTGTTTTTACTGCTGTGCAACTTGGTCTCCAGCTGCTTCTCTTAACCTCTTGTTATCATTCAACCTAGGAACCAGTCCTGGCCTTAAATCGGCAAAGGAAAAAGCAGAAGCCTTTTCTGAAAGGTTGAACTTGATGCAAAAATGTAGAAGCTGTAAAAAAAAAAAAAAAAAAAATCAGTGGCTGGTGCCAGAAACTCTCCGGCAGGTATCCCAATGGCACAGTGCCCTCTGGTGTTAGGAAGGGGTTCTTTCATCATATGCACTTTTTTTTTTTTTTTTTAATTTGTTTTTGTTACAGATGTTTCTCCTTTTTCCCCCCTTGACACCCTCCTCCCCATCCCTCCACCCCAAACCCAGTTTTGTTGTCTATGTCCATTGGTCATGCATACATACATATAAGTTCTGTGGTTTATCTCTCCTTCCCCAACTCTCCCCTCCTCTGAGGCTTGTCAGTCTGTACCCCACCTCTATGTTTCTGGGTCAATTTTGTTCAGCAGTTGGTTTAGTTCATTATATTCCACAAATAAGTGAGATCATGTGATATTTATCTTTCTCTGCTTGGCTTGTTTTGCTTAGCATAATACTCTCCAGGTCCTTCCATGCCATCTCAAAGGATAAGAGATCGTTCTTTCTTACCGCTGCATAGTATTCCACTGTGTACATGTACATGAGCTTTTTAATCTACTCATCTACTGATGGACACTTGGGTTATTCCAGATTTTATCTATTGTAAATAGTGCTGCTATGAACATGGGGGTACATATATTCTTTCTGATTGGTGTTTCGGGTTTCTTAGGGTATATTCCTAGAAGTCGGATAACTGGGTCAAATGGCAGTTCCATTTTTAGTTTTTTGAGATAACACCATAGTGTTTTCCACAGTGGCTGAACCAGTTTGCACTCCCACCAGCAGTGTACTTGAGTTCCCTTTTCTCATTGTTTGATGATTTGTTGATGGTGGCCATTCTGACAGGTGTGAGATGATACCTCATAGTTGTTTTAATTTGCATCTCTCTGATTATTAGTGACATTGGCCATTTCTTCATATGTCTCATGGCCATTAGTATGTCCTTTTTGGAAAGGTGTCTATTTAGTTCCTCTGCCCATTTTTTAATTGGGCTCTTTGTCTTCCTTTTGTTGAGTTGTATGAGCACTCTATATGTTTTGGAAATTAACCCCTGATCTGACGCATCATTGGCAATTATGGTCTCCCATATAGTGGGATCCCTTTCCGTTTCGATGGTTGTTTCTTTTGCTGTGCAGAAGCTTTTTAGTTTGGTGTAGTCCCATGTGTTCATTTTTTTCTTTGTTTCTCTTGCCTTAGGTGGTGTATCAGTGAAAATTCTGCTGCGTATGATGTCTGAAATTTTGTTGCCTGCATTCTCTTCTAGAATTTTTATGGATTCACAAGTTATATTTAAGTCTTTTATACATTTTAAGTTTATTCTCATGTATGGTGTAAGTCGGTGGTCTAGCTTCACTTTTTGCAAGTAGCTGTTCAATTTTCACAACACCATTTATTGAAGAGACTGTCTTGACTCTACTGTATATTCTTGCCACCTTTGTCAAATATTAGTTGAGCATATTGTCTTGGGTCCATTTCTGGGTTCTCTATTCTGTTCCATTGATCGATCTGCCTGTTCTTGTGCCAGTACCAGGCTGTTTTGATTACAGTGGCTTTGTAGTAAAACCTGAAATCTGGAAATGTGATTCCTCCTACTTTGTTCTTCTTTTTCAAGATTGCTGTGGCTATTCAGGGTCTTTTTTGGTTCCATATGAACTTTTGAAGTATTTGTTCTAGTTCTGTGAAATATGTCATTGGTATTTTGATGGGGATTGCATTGAATCTATAGATTGCCTTGGGTAATATGGACATTTCAATGATGTTAATTCTTCCAATCCATGAACAAGGTATGTGCTTCCACTTTTTTATATTTTTGTCTATTTCTTTTTTCAATGACCTGTAGTTTTCTGCGAATAGGTCCTTTGTTTCTTTGGTTAAGTTTATTCCTAGGTATCTTAATTTTTTTGCTGCGATGGTAAATGGGATTGTTTTTTAGTTTCTCTTTCTGTGAGTTCATCATTGGTGTATAAGAATGCCATCAATTTCTTGACGTTAATTTTGTATGCTGCTACTTTGCCAAATTCATTTATTAAGTCTAGTAGATTTTTGATGGAGTCTTTAGGGTTTTTTTATGTACAATATCATGTCATCTGCAAATAATGACAGTTTCACTTCCTCCTTTCCAATTTGAATCCCCTTTATTTTTTCTTCATGTCTAATTGCTGTGGCTAAGATTTCCAGTACTATGTTAAATAAGAGTAGTGAAAGTGGGCATCTCTGTCTTGTTCCTGTTCTTAAGAGGGATGCTTTTAGTTTTTGTTCATTGAGTATGATGTTGAAAGTAGGTTTTTCATATATGGACTTTATTATGTTGAGATATAATCCCTCTATTCCCACCTTGCTGAGCGTTTTTATCAGAAATGGGTGCTGGATTTTATCAAATGCTTTTTCAGCATCTATTGATATGATTATATGGTTTTTATCTTTCCTTTTGTTTATGTGGTGTATCACATTTATGGATTTGCAAATATTGTACCTTCCTTGCATGCCTGGGATGAAACCCACTTGGTCATGATGCATAATCTTTTTGATCTATTGCTGGATCTGATTTGCTAATATTTTGTTAAGGATTTTGGCATCTGTGTTCATCAGGGATATTGGCCTGTAGTTTTCTTTTTTTGTAGTGTCTTTATCCAGTTTTGGAATTAGGATTATGCTGGCCTCGTAAAATGAGTTTGGAAGTGTTCTGTCTTCTTGGATTTTTTGGAATAGTTTGAGGAGAATGGGTATTAGATCTTCTTTGAATGTTCA